GCTAGGACAGTCATCAGGTTCAGGGAGATGGATTTTAGTGTGCTGATACTCAGAATGACATACCTCCAGGATTAAAAGATTACCTCTGTCCTACCGATTGTAGACTTCGTACGGATCAAAGAGCTTTCGAAAATGCTGAATATGACAAGGCCCAGGAGTGAGTTTGTCCCGGCCTCTTCACCTATCCTTTCCTTCCCTATCCGTTTTCATCCCTTCTCTTCTCTTAACTTCTCTTCTCTTAACTTCTCTGGTTCGTCCTACCAATCATAATTATATCCGTCGTCCGCAAAGGAGCCTCAATACGGTTCGATTGATTATAATACCATCTGTCACACAAGGAAGCTTTTGCTGGATCTCGCTTGAAGGAAACATCCCCACTGTGATATATAAAGAGAAAAAATCTGATAGATGAGGTTGAAAACGCAAAATGAAGAAAAACAACGTTTGACACGTAAACTTCGAGCGGAAGGTAAACTCCCACCTCATGAATCTAGATGGTTTTATCCTTCTCGAGATACCGACAGCGGTGAACGAGTTTGGATCCCAAGAAGGACAGAGAGTGGAGAGGTTTTATTCTGGGCGGAAAGGGAACGTGCTTTGGAGACGAAATGGGCAAATGTTGATCATATTTTCGTAGAAGGGTGAGTTTCGGAATTGGTTGGGTTGTTAAAACGTCAAAATCAAGTGGATGGCGGAGGAATGAACGTAAAGATTAGGAACGTCATGATATATATATTGCTTGTGGTTTAAATAGTAAGAATGCAGTGAATACATATAGCGATCAACTGTTCGTTCATTAGTGAATGATACGAAAAGAAGAGAAAAAGAAAAAGTACATGTCGGATATTGGTTTGTCAGACATGCAGAAAGCGTACGAAACGCCGATTTCCGACTTTTGTTATGATATATGAACTGAAACACTTTTATTTATCCTCCTCTTTCGAATTCCCTTCATTCCTTTTAACTCATAACTCATTTCCTCGATTTACCTAAACACTTGTCTTGTCCTTATTCCTCACACCATTCTTTACTGATCATTCTCCGATCCAATATCTTCATCATCTTGTCAATCCCATCCAATGCGCCCCATCCATTCTTATTGCGACATCAGATATTCATGACACTCCCTCCGTTGAGCCTGAAGAAATCCCCGTGCTTAGATATACGCTTCAGGAGGAATATTACCCCTGATTTCTTCAAAGTTCTTATAAGCTATTTCTAGATCCCAACCATTTTGCTCCAGACACAAAGTGCTGAACGTCACATTCATCCCTGTTCTCTGTCTCAATTGCGTGATCAACACTTCTTTCTGTTGTTCGGCATTTGACAGGCTCGGAGTGACCGAAGGGAGTGAAGAAGGTGGTGAAATCGTGATTCCGTCTTTTGCGAGAGAACAAGTGGTGTCGAATGATGCTGTGCCGAAATATGGATGAACTATGAGAGTGTCAGAGAGGATCGATGCTGGCCAGCCTGAATTTCTTGCCCTGAAATTAGTATGGTCATTCTGACTCCGTCCAGTGCCTATGTAGAATGATTGCAAGTAGTGAGATTCATGCCCGACCATGGTGTTCTGTGTGGACTTTGTGAAAAGTGGTAAGAAGGAATGAGATGAAATACTCTGAGCAAAGATAATATGGAAACACTTACATTGACCCCTCTGGTGCATCTACCAAAACAACAGTCCTTGAGAAAGTTCTGTATGCCATCGAAGGCACTGAAAGTCAAGAGGGGACCCGCGAATCTATCAACAAACTTACATTCCTGAAACTCTCCAGTGATCATGGCGCATAACCGAGTGGTCACTCCTTCCCCATCCAACACCCATGCGTCAACATTCCACTTGCTAGCATCCTCCAGTGGATGCCGAGTTTGGGGTACATTGTCATTCCACCATTTCAACAGACCTTCACGATCGGCGGGACTTTTGAGAGCATCTGCGGTCCGGGCCGACTTGCCTCGGAAGAGATTGCGACTGGGCAGATTTGACCATCGATCATATGACGACGACGGAGGTCTGGTAGCTCGAGTAGCTCGTACGTCATCGGCCAGAGCAGAGAAAGAACCGATCGTATTGACTGATATGGAGATTGTGGCATTGGGCGAATATCCGTCGATGAGAAGAGCACGTGAGGTGTCCCATAGAGGGAAGAATCTGATCGTCAGGTGCTGTTCAGCGCAAAAGACAGGAAGCTCACTTGGCACAGAAGGCCATTGCGATGTTCTTTGCAATTTCGTTCTCGGCAAATCCGGCTTGGATGTCGACAGGAAATGTGAACGGACGCGCACGAAGTTGTTCGAGGGCTTCTCTCTTCCGTGATACGCGAGGTTTACGTGTGATTGGGAAGACGATACGATTGAGTTGAATGCCGTCTAAAATGAGAAGACCGGGAAAACGTCGCAAGATCTCTCTGAGCTGTTTAGTATAGTGTAGGTCATATATAAAGAACAACCGACGATTGATATTTCTCGCCACCGCCTTCTTCCTTCAGAGCCGCCTCGCGGAACAGACATCCATTGAATTTAAGCTCTACAAGTGCCTTGAGACTACCGTGCGAGTTTAGGGCTTTCCCTTTAGAATCGCCGGGACCAGCTAAGAGAGATAATTCGTGGAAACTGTTGATGGGGTTGTCGCTGAAATCGATGGCTCGGATGTGAGGAAGAGAGTGGGGTAGTCTGATCAGCTGTTGAAAGTTGACGAAATCGTTTCTCGCCAACGACAACGTGTGGATTTGTATGCCTCCCGTCTGTGATCGTCAGTGCGATGCGTCAAAATAGCATTCCTAGTGAGCTACCTTTTGTATGACCTGATCAACAAGCTTCCAGAGGACGACACCTGCGGTTGTGGGTGCATCTCTATGACTGGGCGGAAGAATGTCGTTTTTCTTCAACCATTCGTCTTGAGGCAGTCCCTGATCTTGTCAGTATCGGTATTCCCACTACTACTCATAGACCTACCGACATGTCTAACACGCCTTCGCTGATCATTCTGGATCGAAGCCATTGTTTGATTTCTTCGCCACCCAGAACAGCGTTGAGTCTCGCGTGCTGCACCTTCATTTTCTCCCGACGCTCGGACGATCGTGCGGTCGCGAAGATGGGCATTCCGCTCTTGGGGCGTTTAGGAAGAAGTTCCTTTTTGGAAGTCCTATCTGGGCCACTGATCCTGGCGGCGAGATTTGAGGTCGAGGGAGAAATCTGACCATCATGACGTGGTCTGTCATAGGGAGTGGCTGATGCTGGTCCGCGATGACGGCCGGACTGAACGACATAATGACGGATTTGATTGGAAGGGGCGGATTGAAGGACGGGAAGCATGGATGGGTCAAATGTGATGATTCGGGCGTTGAGGGGGATATCGGGTCGGCGTCGACGGCGAACGTATGGTGTAGAAGGTGCAAGAGGGGAAGAAGGTCGAAACGGATCATTCGGCGTTAGCATGATCGATGTTTTCTACCTTCTTGATTGCACTGAAGAGAGAGACGAGAGAAAGAAGAGGATCCAGTGGATGGTGATGACCAACAAGAAGCAAGCTTCGTGAAAGAATCGGAGATGAGAGGAAGAGAGACGGCGATGAGCAAAGCTGGACTAGACGGCAATAAATCAAGGGAAGAGAGTGTCGAGTGATCAAAGGAGGACCGCCACCGACGAGGGATATGGGACCAGATACTTGTACAGCTAGACTGAGCATCAGAGTAAGTTCAGACCCACCTGATCAAGAGGTCCATCTCTTCTCTTCACACGACGTTCTTGTCCGAGGGCGCCGATGCCGTCGACTTGCATTTGGGGGTTTGACTCCTTGGTAAGACCGGCACCTCGGAGAGCGGTTTGGATACTCCGCTTGGGCGGGGCACCGATGGATTTCCCGCGAATAGCGAGACCAGTGTTGGGTTGAGAAGAAGAGGATGAGGAGGATGATATAGCTTGGAAAGCTTGAGAGAAGGCTGACATGACGTGAAGAGAGATTGGAAAGAAGGCTGTGACAGGATTACTTGAAGGAGAAACGTTATCCCGGAAATCGACGCAAACAGAGTATTCGAGTGGGAGATGAGTCAAGATACCAGGTTTTCAACCACGATTACGCTCGCACTGATTACCTCACTGTTTGTGTTGACAAGACGGACAAGCCAATGTAAGAGATAGAGGAGATAGAGGTTTGATTGGGGGCAAGACATATGCCGTTTCAGGTGGCAAAAGCACCGCGCCTAATCGAGTTGTGAGATGACCGCACACCGACGCACGCCTATCGCTATTCTCTTTCTTCTCTTCCCCCCTCCCTTCGTTGTCCTCCTTCACTTTTGTCCTCTCATCCACCCACTCCACCCCTACCATGTCCACAGCTGTAGTAGTACCCAATGGCAATCATCTCACCAACGGTCATGCCAATGGATTCAAGTCATCTGCAGCCAAATCTCGTGGTGCTCTGAAAAGACTAAAGGCAAAGGCAAAGGCCAAAGCAGGTTCGGCCACACCCAGCGAAGCCGGCACAGAATCTGAGCGGGAAAGTGATACCGAAGTGAGCTATCACTCCCTCTTCTTGATCATGTGTCTCAAGTGCTAACACCCAGTCCATCACATCCACTTCGACTGCCGCCACTTCAATCGAGGTTCCGTCTCTCGATCCATCCGATCCAAACTATGCTCAGTTCGCCAATATCTTCGCCCACTTCCAGGAAGATGGTCAAACTGTGGAGGAAGCGGTCCTAGCTGGACCAAAAAAAGGAGATGTGTACTACTCTGATGAGGAAGACGAGGATGAGGAGACTCGGCAAAAGGCGGCAGCCAGAGCGGCAGAATTTGAGGGGATGACTAGGCGTGAGAGACGTAAAGCTGCTGTGAGTAGCATCCGACATGATTCTGGACACAGCGACTGATTCGTGCAGAAACTTACAGTCTCCGAGTTGAAGCAACTGGTGGATAGGCCCGAAGTCGTAGAGTGGTTCGACCCAGACGCTCGGGACCCGAGATTGCTCGTCAGTCTAAAGTCTTATCGCAAGTACGTCATTCTCCGCGTATTTGAATGTCATTCGCTGACCGTGCAGCTCTGTACCTGTCCCAGTGCATTGGAATGCCAAACGAGACTACCTCGCAGGAAAGCGAGGTATCGAGAAACCACCTTATCTGTTGCCGCGTTCGTGAGAACCCCTCTTCGAATGACATCCTCTGACTCGCAGCTTGGATTGCAGACACGGGCATTGGCGAGATGAGGGACGCTGTCAAGGCCAAGGAGGCTGCGCAGAGTCTGGCACAGAAGACGAGAGAACGGGTTCAACCAAAAATGGGCAAAATCGACATCGATTATCAAAAGCTACATGATGCGTTTTTCAAGTTTCAGCAAAAGCCAAGTATGAGCAAGTTTGGCGAGGCGTGGGTCATTTGTTTCGAAACATTTCCCGTATCCTATCAAGAGCCACTTACGACCATGACCATCTTCCATCTGCTGACCAGATAGATACTACGAGGGTAAAGAACTCGAAACAGATCTTCGGACCAAGAAACCAGGAGAATTATCGTCCGAGTTGATCGAAGCGCTTTCGATCCCACCTTTGGCTCCTCCACCTTGGCTGATTGCCATGCAGAGATTTGGACCTCCGCCCAGCTATCCCAATCTGCGCATCAAAGGCCTGAACGCGCCTATTCCGCCGGGGTAAGGGACTTTCGCGTTGCTATGGGCTACAGCTCACCAGCAGCGCTCAATGGGGGTTTCACCCTGGTGGCTGGGGAAAACCACCCATGGACGATTTCAACCGGCCTTTATATGGAGACGTCTTTGGTGTCATGCAAGGCGCGGAGATCGCTCATCAAAATGAAATTGACAGGGCTTTGTGGGGTGAAATAGAAGTCATGGAGGAAGGTCAGTCCTCATCCTTTCACTCCACATCGCATTCCTCACGTTTCATCCACGCTGACAATCCAGAAGACGAGGATGAGGAAGAGGAAGAAGAGGAGGAGGAAGAGGCAGTTCCTGCACGTGGACCATCGAGCGGTAAAGCGCCGGACGATGGACTTCAAACTCCCTCCGGTCTCGCCACACCTTCTGGGTTTCACAGTGTCGTGTCGACTGTTCCCGGTGGTCTCGAGACGCCCGATTTCATTGAGCTACGCAAGAATTCCCGAGCAGAGAGTGAAGACGTGGGGCCAAGTGGTCCGAAAGAACTGTACCAGGTCATACCCGAACGAGAAACCAGTGCTAGAGGATTCCTTGGGAGTACCACGGCTTATGATTTCTCGACCGTTGGCAAGGGAGCTGCCGGCTCATCGGCGCCTGTGTTGGGAGACGAACGTAGCCATAAGGTGGGTTCACCTTTCCTCCTCTGCTGTACTTTTTTGCTTGCACCAAGCCTTCCCTCTTGGTTGCTACATTCAGATAGAGTGATGGTTATGAACCCCGACTGATGAATCAGCGCAAGGCAGGCGATGTGGACATTTCGGTCAATGTGGACGAAGACCTCACCCCTGCTCAACTGAAGGAACGATACGAATCATCGCGTGCACAAGTAGATCGCGTCCATGTGCCTGGTGCCGACGTCGACAGGAGCGGTTTCGACGATGTCGTCAAGGATCAAATGAAAAAGCGGGCCAAGGTGCAAGAGAAGAAGGACAAGGGGAGAAAAGAGGATAGATACAAGTTCTGAAGGGTCAGTCTTTCGGTTCTGTATTTGACGGCCGTGAGGGTTTTGATCTAGCAAGAGGTTATGCAGCCTTTACTTGGTCCCTTTCTCCTCTCCGACTTTGATCGTCTTTTAACGAATCGTTGGCTTTCCCAAAACGATCTTGCCTAATGTAAACCCATTCAGTGCGAGAAATGTGCCCCAGTTGTCTACGGTGTCAAAGGAGTTCTCTGCGGACGGGATCCGATAAGCCGGAGAGGGATCATATGAAAGGTGAGAGTTGACTCCCGAGGTGACATACTTGACGGTCCTTTGTGGTTGGGACGATCAGCAGGGGTTGCGATTGTGGGAAGCGGGGAACAATGTGAGAGGAAGACGTGGAGATGTAGCCGAATCCTTGGATTTTTCTATCCTAACCCCTTGAGTTCCCCTTCTTCTAACTGTGGAAGAGGTACTGATGAAGGGAAATGTCCTCGGAGACTGAACCACAAAAGTACACTTTTGTCCTTCCCCCATATCTACTACTTGTGTACATAGATAAGACTCACTGATGTTTGAAATCGGACAACTCACTAACGGTTTGACATAGTTCTAACAATCCCAACCTAATAAAAAATGCCATCGGACGACAGAAAGCAATACACCCTCCTCCCTTCTCCCGCCTCCATGCGTGGGAACAAGCAACGACCTACGTCTATCATTGCTTTGGTCATATCTTTCCTCTTACTCAGCAGTTATATTCTTTCTCAACTAGGTATCCACATACTTCCTTCTTCTTCTTCTTCTTCCTCTTCCTCCACTCCATTTTCGTCCGAATCTATCGAAGTACAGGAATATAAACGAGAAGCCTACGTAACATTCCTATCTTCAGGTCCTGATCCAGAATATTTCACTTCTGTCCGTTTACAACTTTTCGCCATCAAACATGATCCCCTGACCTTGGATCCAATCCCAAGAGATGTCGTAATACTCACTTATCCATCCGTACCGAAACATCAACGTGAACAATTATCTAATGAAGGTGCGATCATAATCCCAGTTGAAGAAATAACTTCGATTCCTAATCCATGGAAAGATACAGATGATCATTGGAGAGATGTTTTAGGTAAATTATACGTTTTCAATATGACTCAATATTCTAGAGTTATGATGTTGGATGGTGATATGTTTTTACATAAATCTCTCTCTGGGATTTGGCAAGATGAACATTCTTGGCCTAAATCAGGTTTAGCAGCTTGTGGTGATGGTTTTGCAGGACATGAGATTCCTCAGAGGAATGATCCACCTTTTAATAGTGGGTTCATGATGGTTGTACCGGATGAAAATACTTTTAAAGAGTTGTTGGAATTTAGAGATTATGATCATTCTTGGATGGATCAGGTGAGTGCAGCGTGGTCATCTTCTTTCTTCTTTCTTCTTTCTTCCTCCTTCTTCCTTCTTCCTCCTTTTTATCTCTTATCTCTTATCTCTGCTTACTTCTGATCTCTTCTTCCCCAAACTTCATATTTCATGTCTCTTATCCATTTCTTTTTCCGATAAGAAGGGGATTTCTAAAAGTAAAGGTGCAGAATTAAATGATTGACAAAATAGGCAATGTTGAATTCTTATTTCGATCAAAATGGTCTTCATCCATGGGAACCTCTTGATCATAAGTACGTACTATACCTCTTTCCATACAACTTTGACATTTCTACCTTTCTCCACCAACCAATTTCCCTTTTGATCCCTTGATCCGTCCTCATTCTTTCCGTTTGACATGGATGAGAACCACGACTGATATTCAGATGGGTATGTAACGCTCCCACTATGGCAGATATAGAATTTGGTATTGCCGTGTAAGTTGAATTTTCAATTTTACCACAATATCCCAACACTAGCAATACCATCTGTCCATCTCTACATCTTTACATCTCTACATCTTTACATCTCTACATCTTTACATCTTTACATCTTTACATTTTTACATCTTACATCTCTACATCTCTACATCTCTACATCTCTACATCTCTACATCTCTACATCTCTACATCTCTACATCTCTACATCTCTACATCTCTACATCCCCACATCTCTACATCCCCACATCTCTACATCTAACATCTTTACATCTCTACATCTCTACATCCCCACATCTCTACATCCCCACATCTCTACATCTAACATCTTTACATCCTTCATTCACTCGATATGCCCAGTGTGTGACCGTGATTATTCCTACCCCACGTGGTGTTATATGGATAATGTACAACTGAACGGACCAAGAAGACTGACAACAACATAGATTACACGAAAAACTATGGAGTTTGAAATACAGACATGATAACCCACCTGAATTGATGGAAATGTGGCAAAGACGTGTTGGACGTATGGAAGGATATTGGAATTCACGTTCTGAACAATTTTCCTTGAGTGAAGGTTGAATAGTTGACAATTGTCATTGTTTAGATTGGTGTTGTAGCGGAATGATGATGATGAAAATATTGTGACTTTTTATGATGACAAGTAGTTTGTCGCAACAACATGTCGAGAAGATTCTTCTTGACATACAGTACAATTCGAATCGTTTCGTGAAACAATGTGGATTTTGCATATGAAGGTAGCGTATGCAGAAATGTAACTTACAACAAAGATGCGTTCTTGATTGGAAATGACAAAGTCTGAATCTATGATGCAGGAAGGCAGAAGGAACGCCACGATGGACAAAATAGAGGTAATGGACAAAACCATAGATGCATGCAGGTCGTAAATGATCATCAGTCTTGTTTTTTGAAAAAGAGTTTTGTAGCACATGAGTCGAATCGTGGGGTATACACCATGTCTTATCCTGGTTCCTACAGACTCCCCTCTAACCTCCACCTTTCTCTTCTCTTCATATAGACAGATTCTCTCCAAGGGGAAAAAAAAAGGAAATTCCTTTCCCGTTCCAGAGAACCAAAACGACTTATTGTACATTTCCTCATGACGTACATCTATCTCCCTTCTCATCATCCTCCTCCTTTCCCCTGAAGCTCGAGAGTCGTGCATGTCAATAACTTATATCCCACAATTTTGAAAGGTATCTTATCACACGGGATAATTCCCACTTCTCCTTGACCATCTCGGACTATTCTCACCTCCACCTCCACCTCCACTCTGTTGTTGTTGAGCGAAAGGATTACTCGTCGTTGTATAAGGTCCACTATAACTAGCTCTAGCTTGATGACCCGCAGCGTTATTCCCAGCATAAGGATATTGTGGTTGTAAAGGTGTATACAACATACCCATAGTAGGATCTCTATCACCAAAACCATCAAATTCATATGATCCTGCGGAATTCGGTTGAGGTGGGTTCACAACCGCTGCTGGTGGTGGATATTGTGGTAAAAACGATCTGGAATTACTTGAAGAAGATGAAGGTGGATCGTATTCTCTTCTTGAATATTCAGAATTTTGAGAAGCGTGTGGTTGCATGGAATATCCTGTAGCTGAAGTTGATAAATTAGATCGATGAGAAGAATGTGATTGAGTGTGATGAGATTGACCGACTAAAGAATGATGAGGTTGTTGATGATTTGAAGTTATATATTGACCTGGCATCATCCAACTATTTCCAACTACTGCGGCTTGTTCAGCTTGTCGTTGTAATTGTTCCAATTGAAGATACATCGGAGTTGGTACAGTCGGTTTTTTGTTATGACCATGTTTTCGTCTATCCCATTCTAATATATCTTGATCACGATTGAGAACGGGTGTGAGATTACGTGTACCACTTGGATCTTGAGGTCCGAAATGAGTGAGACGAGCGAGAGCAGGAGGGATAGCATCCATTTGATTAATCGTATTGGCTCTATTCCTAGCAGGGGGATAATACGAATTAGGAGGTGGGTTGGTAGGGTTCACAATTGGAGGATTATGTACACGTAAAGAAGTATGGGAAGAGGAAGAAGAAAGTGTTTGTGAAGGTACACGATTTTGGTAAACTTGTTGAGAGGGTGGTTGTGAAGCAGGCCATTGAGTGCGGGTAGGTTGGTAATGTTGCGAACTAACGCGAGCTTGAGTAGGAGGTGGATCGTATGACGCAAAAGGTTGACGAGCAGTAGCTTGTTGAGCAGCTTGTGCGGCTTGAGCAGATTGAACTTGAGCTGTATAAGCTTGATGTTGAGCTAATTGTTGTCCATAGGCTGCCGCATCCGAGTAAATACGTTGATTTCGCGACGCAGAAGTGCTCTGTACCAATCCTCCGTACTTTTTGTTATTGGGAGTAGTAGGTTCTGTGGGTGTAGGCGTCTTCTTCGGTTGTTGAGACGGAGCCGATGGCTATGACGGTCAATGACATTTCGAGTTCCAGAGGTTTAAGACTTACCACGAAATGTCCAGTATATTGCTCGCCACTGATAAATGGGTGTTTCGCAGCCTGTTGTGGAGTCCATCGTTTGAGTGGATCCAACTCCAAAAGTCCTTCAACGAAATCGATGAAAGATCGTCTGAAAGCCATTTCTACATGATTCAGCATATAAGTTGGGTGGGAGACGGATGACGCACCCTTGTCAATGTCAGATTGCTTGGCGTTCCGTTTAGACACTGGATATTCCATGATGATATCTTTGAGTTTGGTATGAGAGAAATATTGTTTACTCGGTTGTTCATTCGTTCGATGTTCAGAAGCGTATTGGTCCATAGGTTTGAGTTGGTATTGTTTCCTTCCATGGGCATCCACACCGACAAAATTGAAGAATTCATGGGTTTGTTTACCATTTTCGAGTAAATGATGAGGAGGAACACTGCATGAATCAGTATCAACCGCCAAGAGGAAAGATCCGCAACCTACCCTAACATATCCACAATTCGAGAGACTTGATTATATTCACTGGTACCTGGGAACAATGGCAGACCGAGGAAGAGTTCCACTACAATACATCCGAGAGACCACATGTCGATGGATGTGGAATAGGGAAGACCTAGAAGGACCTCGGGCGAACGGTAAAATCGAGATTGGATATATGTGTATACAGTTTGCATTTCGTGACAAGCTGAACCAAAGTCGATCACTTTGATGTGCGGAGATTGCAACCTGCTTCGTCAGATCGTATCACGACGTACAAAGCAGGATACTGACGACTTCAGAAGGATATTTTCTGGTTTTAGATCACAATGTATCAACCTCGCCTCTTTTAAAACTTGTAAACAATCAAGCAATTGCCCAGTGAAGACTTTGACCAAGCTGATGCTCAGACCTTTGAATTGATTTTGCTTAATGAGTTCGTAAAGGTTGGAGCTGAGACATTCAAATACGAGACAAAGGTGATTTTTGTGAGTGAAGCTTTCGAACATTCGCAGGATGTGGTGCCGATCGTTTGGATCATATTGTTTGTTCAGCTACAATATCAGTTTAGTCAGATGTGGAATTGAGAGAGAAAACGCACCATATCCAAGATCGCAACTTCCATTTTACTCTGATTCAAATACGCTGGCTTGTTTTTGACCACCTTGACCGCGCATATATCATGCGTCCGCATGTTTTGACATTTTACCACCTGGCCGAATGTGCCTTGTCCAAGCACGTCGAGGATGAGATACCTATCGCCACCATTTTCGCCTCCCAAGACATCATTGACGTATAAGATGTAATCCCAATCTTCATTATCCACTCCATCGTTGTAAACCGGTTTGCTGGGTTTGGTCAAAACCCGTCGAGGGTTCTCAGATGATTCGTATCGGAACGACGAATTACAAAGAGTGAACGTTTGAGGGAGAGCGACGGTCAAACATTTCAACGGCTACTTGTCAGTTCCCAAACCATCCCGGATGATGTATGACTCACGCTCAAATACTTGTCCGGGGCATTGGGATCTACTCTTCGGCCTTGTGGATGAGAGTTTACCACTGGTCTCAAGTCTGAAACATGTCTAATCTCTCTGAATCCGACTTGTAGAGAGGCAGCATTCCTACTCCTATTCCCATTCTCCCTCGAAGGGAGATTCCGAGGTGGACCTGAATCATATGTCCTCGACACCGCCGGGGTCACCGGTTGACTAGCAGGATAAAGCTGATGACTGTGACCGCGAGTATATTGCGAAGGTCTGGAAGAGGAGCTCGGTGAAGATGGACGATATGTGGAGGTTGACCATGCAGAGCTGTTGGAAAATTGTGGCGAGTCAGGTACGTTGATGGTGGGATTCTTCTGCAAAACGCTCATCGGAGTAGACTCATGAGGTGTGGTCCTATTCGTCATGGCAGGAGATAAACTGTAAGGGTAGATGAGAGGCGAATGTGGACTTGATTGATTGGGAAGAGTTGAGTTTGGTGATAACGGTGCTGATAAGGGAGAATGATAAGAAGCACTCGAAGATAATCTTTGTGATGAATCAGGAGGACGATAATCCGCCCATTGAGTTTGAGATGGATTCGAACTTGATTCTGACCCTCTTGGAAGGTAAGGATTAACGTGTGATGCTGAAGATGAAGGTTGAAGAGGGAAAGATGTAATTGAAGGTGAAGAATTTGTATCAGAAGACTGTCGGTGTGGAGGGCGTGAAAGCGCGTGGTTAGGAATGGGTGGTGGATTCATTGCGCCCACTACTCCCGTCACGCCTTCTATTGTACCCTTATATTTGTTAGGTGACATGACAACGTCTCTATTCCTACTTTCATTCTGTCTTGGTGGTATATATGAAGATGGCTGTTGTTGTTGTTGTTGTTGTTGTTGTTGAGTCGTTGTTCTATATCCCCAAGCAGGACGATCTTGAACAGGTGACATATCCATATTTCCTAAACCTGATTCTACATCATCGGGTCCATAAGCATACGGATCTTTCTTCCTATTACCCAAACTTGCACTCCGAGCTAGAGAACCTAAACCACCAACGGCAAGTCCAGGAGCTACAGGAGGAGGTGGTGGTGGTAAAAGGTCGTGGTTCTGACCGTTGGGATGAGCAGAATGAGGATATTGACCATAAGGTAAATGACCCATACCACGTTGTGCGGGTGATTGATTTTCGTTTAATGGGGAAGAAAAGGGAGAATGATGTATGGTATGACGTTGTTGAGCTGCTGGATGTAAATGAGCTGCGGGTAGAGGTGGGTTATTGAATAGTGGAAGGGAGAATCCATTTGTTGTATCGAAAGGATCTTGTGAATAAGAGACGTCGTGGTACGATGATGGTCTAGACATTTTTTGATCGGCTTCGTACAACAAAAGTTATGGTTTTGTCTCGTTACGTCAAGTCGGTCGTGTACGTCTGACCAGTAGGATGGTGTTAAAGAGCTTGGAGCGAGATCACGGATGAGGGAGGTAAGGTTGAAGCGTGGGAAGGAACGATAGGAAGAGGTGTAGGTTGACGAGTAGAAGAACGCGGTGCAGGTTCTGATGCCTTCTCGCACAGGTGATCAAGTGTGTGTGTAGAGATACGAAGTGAACACCCTTGGAAGGTTGACACGCTGCGGAGTGCAAGTGCGATCAATCAGAGTATATAGTACGAATGATATGAGAAAGAGGGGGAAGGGTGGGATGAGAGGTGGACTTTGGCAGCACCTGAAAGAGTAGGCACCTGCGACACGTCTGTCAACTTTGGTACTTATACGACACACAAACGTGAACTCACTGTGGTACCCTTTACTCTCGTCGATACAAGGGGAAGATTCTCATTCGTATAGATGAGATGATACCGAGTGTTTGGTATGTACGATACTTGGTTGTGAGGTGACAGAAGGAGAAGTAGTGATCACAAAGTCGGCCTGTCGGGGTTGAGAGTGGGGTCGTCTCAATTTATCAACTCCGATATGACCCCGACGTCGTTAGTGGTGTTTAGAAGAGGGGACAAGGGTTTGTCTGACTGTGACGTGTTTGTTGTGACCTTTCTATCGACTTGTTTATATGTACCGTGACGATGTGATACAATGTGAATCTGATGAGTGACAAGTAGTGTCAAGGTGTGGGTGGGCATGGGGTACAAAGTCCGAGGTTTTTGTAAAGAGGCGTTCAATGGCCAATGATCAATGAGCTCAGTACTCAAAGGGTCACAACGTCATCCCGTCTGCCCGGCATACACTCCCACTTCGGGTAACTCGTCAGCATTGACAAAAACATCATGACCACATCGATACACTGACACTACTCTGTATAAGTTACATCTCACAACATGCATACTCTTCTACTCGCCCCGACCTAGCTTGTCCAACGCTCGAATCCCTTGTTCTTCCCATTCCGCCTTCGTCACCCAAAACGCCTCTTTGTCTTTCATGATATCCGCCAATACCGCACCACCGAGGAACACCATGTGTTTTCGTCTTGGAGGATCTTCGATTCGGATTTTGAAAGCCTGATGTTAGCCTGATACAAGTGAATATAGTGGACCGGTCAGAGCCATTTTGTGACATGAACGGATCAAACTCTTGTACTCTTGTACTCACCTTCAATCTCGACCCATCGCCTCCCAATACCCGTGTCAAATACAATTGTTTCATCTCTTTCTCTAGTCTCGAAGGGAAACCCGGGTACATTGATGAGCCGCCAGAAAGTACGATATGTTTGTAAAGTTCTGATCGGGTGTCCACAGCTGCTTGTTGAATGGTCTGAAACAAGAGCTCTAAATGTCAGTTCGGGAATGGGATTAGAAGGCTGAAACGCACCTGCCACTCCGGGCTGTTCGACGTCGACGAGATGAGGTTGGAACATACATTCAGGGGCTTCGTATCGTTCAGAACCGACTTTGATGATCCTTCCATCTGGCAGCTGAGCTGTCAGCAAACCCCACCTAAGACTGCACACGTCGTAATACGGTGGTCGGAGGAGCACATTGGGAATTGGGATCGGCAAGTCAATGTACAGAGTCGGGGCAATGAACCCACAGTGTAATTCTCCACTAAAACCGTCGTTTCCTCTGATAACCTCTTGTCCATTTCAAGATCATAACTCATAAAACACAATTCCTCTTTTATCCCTCTGACAGTCTCGAAATCTGCCGTTCTTTCAAAAGCGTATCCACGCATTAAGAGCAGTTTGATGAGGTATCGAGTGACGTCTCTTCCTGCCACGTCCAATCGACGGGTGAGATGAGGCAGAGCGTAACCGTCGTATACTGGTACGATATGTGTGACACCGTCTCCTGAGTCCACTACGACACCCGTTTGCAGACCTGGCATCAGTACGTTCATCCAAACTCTAGATTGATGCTCCTCGAAACAGACCATCACTGCTGGAACACATACTGCCAGCTAGCATAGTTCATCGAGTGCAGACGACATGAAGTGAGCAGACTCCACCCGGTGATTGAGACAGGGAAGTTTTACGAAGACTTAGGCGATGAATGAAACATGACAAGCCACTGGGAAGGGAGAAGAAGAGCACAGACAAAGAACCCACCTTGAGCATACAAAGTTAAAACAGCTTGTATAGCTACATAAACCCCACCAAATCCATATTTCTCAAACATGACCTCACACATTTTCTGTCTATTCACTTTAGGGTTCATAGGAGGTTCAGTCAATAAAACTTTCATTCCTCTCGTATCCACTCCTAATTTCTCATTAAATGTGTAATCCCATAAATGACCCATATCTTCCCAATTCTTAACTATACCATGTTCCATAGGTTGAGTGACTTGAAGATATGATCGATTTTCAGCTGCTTCATCTCCTACCATTATATCTTTTATGGTTGAAGATCCTAGACGTTCTTCTGCTCTGAGGATGGGACGACCGACGATGGAGGGGAAGACTGTGGGTTAGGTTTGTATTGGTTATATAATCTTTTCTTTGAACCTCCCTCTACGTCCTCCTAACCTGTTCTTTGAAAACTTCTACTCATTTGATGATTCTAACTCCTACTCACAGCCTTCCCTGATCTCTACCTGGAATGTCTCTCCACTGTGACTGGATAGAACCAGTCTTATCCTCATAAGAGGACATGGGCGCCCCGTGGCAAGACAGATGGAGCGAAGCAAGCATGAACAACAAAACGCAGACGATGGAATAAAAGAGGGAGAAAGAGAATTAGACTACACACCATATTCAGGAAAGTTGGAACCTGCCCAACCACATTTGACAAACTACCTCATCAGCTCAACCTCCCATCTGTTGAACAACATACCCCAGTACCATTATCTACCACTAACGGTCGTGGGTCCATGTTGTCTCTGTTTGCTCTTCTATCTGAGTGGCTTTCACCGATCTAATCTCACTGATTGTAGGTTGAGGCTTATTTCAGACTTCCAGAGGATAAGTGAGGGCGGGTAGTGAAGAGTAAGGGATGGAATGGCTCGAGTGCACAGAGCATCGAATTGGCACAGCAACGTCATGGCGAGCTGCCACATTGCTTCACCCCTCGGAGATATCGGCGATATCATGGTTGAAGGCGTCTTTGGAGGTGGCGACGGTATCTTCGATCACAACACCACAGGGGCTGAACTCAGTTTAGAAAAAGCAACAAGAGATGGTATGTAAGAAGTGTGAGAAGGTAAGTTTTTCCCCTCAATCCCTACCTGAGTATATGGGTGTATACAAAGAAGGAACATTTGATTCACTCTCCTAAGAGATCACAGGGTGACTGGGAGGTCTAAACTTTCTGTCACAAGTAAATACGGTCCGAACATTTGAAAGTTACCTTACAGTAACACAGCTATATCTACACCATGGCCAATCAAAGTGAAACATTTAAAATTTGGGAAAGAGATGTGTAGAATAGAACAGAGAGAAAACAAAGCTTATACTTTCTTCTTCTTCTAGAAAACATCAATACTCGCAGCTCCTGATCCTTCTCGACCCTCTATAGCTACACGAAAAATAGGAGAAAACAAATTATTAAAAGTTGGTTTAGGAAAATCAAGGATGAACCCATATGGAAATAAATGTTTAGATTGTAAAGTAAGTTCCAAAGTCCAACAACTTTTCTTTTTTTTTGATTGTTCCTTTACCCATACTCCATTGGAGTCGTTCCCACTTATCATCATCTCTCGTGTTCAGAAATGTATACCAGTGACGAAGACGTACGAGTAGAGTTTCAAGAAAAGTTAGATATCTGTCATGGGACTTGATGCGGGTCATGTGATCATGAAGTACAATGGGATGGAAGGTCACGTTCAGAGATGGGACTTTGGTTCAGTGGTTCAGTGGATCAGTGGGTTGTGATTTAGTTTTGGAGGGGCAATCTTGGAGTTATTTGCGTTAGATGGAGTGGTCAACTGATATGAATAGCAAACGGTTCAACAAAATAATGCTACTCGTTGTCAGAAATGTGCCTATAAAAAAGGTTTATGTGCGATTTGTGGTAGTATGGTTTTAGATACACGACGTGAGTCTTTCTCTTTCTCTTTCTCTTTCTCTCATCTCTACCCCACTTAGCTTTACCTCAAGTTAATAATACCACTTTAAAGTCCAGGGCTGATTTATACAGGGTACAAACAATCCGTCGCTTAAACCCTTTCTCATATCAAGTTGTATACCGTTGTAATACCATGCATCCAACCTCTTCCTCTGCCCACAACCCTGTATACAAACTTTATTTCCGTCTCATTATACTACTCAACCTTTTCAACCCATTCCCTCCACCACCACTAACATCTAAAACATCCCCTTCTACACCTTTATCACTACCTTTTCTCGTACTTGTACTAAATGAACTACTCCTACTGATACTACCTACCAAACTTCTCGCTCCATTCCTTATACTGTTCATCCTAGGCGAATCCTTTGACCCGGTTGATCCATTGAGTTGTGGAGTTCCAACACTTCTAAGACTGGGACTAGAGACGATCCTCACTGAACTACCTGATGCAGTCACGGGTAATGAGATTCTATCTCTATCTCGACTTTCGGTCAGACGTAGAGGTGCTGTATGACTGCTATTGGTTCGAATGATTCCTGAACCGAGGGAATGTTGTGAAATGATGGAGAGTCGGGGTGAGGTAGCGTAATCTTTCGGAGGAAGGGTAGGTGCGAGACTGATTCTGTTATCTATGTAAGGATGGATGGGCATGGTAGATTGAGGAAGAGTGGCGATTTCTTCTGGGAATGCACGGAGGAAATCTGAGTAGAGTCAGTGGTAATCATGAGCGTAATAAGTGGTACGATCAGCAGGACACCAAGAATCTGGTATGAGAGGAGAGATTAAGAAGATACTGACGAGAATGTAAAGCCTCATGAAAGGCTAGATCCTTACATACCGTCCGATGAACAATAAGAGCATCTTGTATCGTACGTGCATACCCCACGATCGAATTACCCAGCTCGAAGACTTTGTCTTTCTCATCAGGGTTCTTCTCCAGGAAGGCAGGATCGAGGAATGTCTGAGAATCAGCTTCTAACAAACGCTCTTTACGTGTGACGAGTACCCTCAGAGGATGAGTCGGATGTGGGGAGGGGGAGCAGAAATGAGGGAGGAGGAAACACATACATGACGATACAGCTTTATCCCTCCTGAGACGGGAGAATCAACAGCACCGTTAATCGTAGTTCCTAAATGCTTCACACTGGAGTTTAGCCTCAAAAACCTCTTTGAAGACATGAGAAACTCACTCAATGTTCATGCCAGGAGGAGGATGAGCCAATTGACGTAAAGATTGACTGGCTTTGATAACTTCGGAAATGGCTATGGTGATAGGTGATAAATGTTCGTATGTCGTTAAAGTGATTTCTGACCGGGTGAGGATACTCGGGAATACTTCTGCAGCTAGCACATCAGCCAAAAGTCTGTACGGAGATTTATAAGATCCATCTTGATCATTCTTGTGCATGGAGTCGTGAGAGCCACACTTAGGCACGTCGGACAATCACGTCTATCCCATGACACTGCAGAGATCATATCATACTCGAGAAAGGTAAGTTCATCACAGAAATAGCTGAGAGGGAAGATCTCTGCAAAGAAGAGGAGATGGAAGGAAAACTCACTAGTCACAATAGTCTTTTCCATCCAAGTCATCACTGCCTCCTTACCCTCATCCCCCTCGTCAGCCTGAGAAGCAGGAACGAAAGGTCTCAAACTTGAGAACCTGTTCACACCATTATATCTATGCCAAGCTTGTACGTTCCCTTGTACTCTATCTTTGAAAACTGGGAGTGAAAGATCAGGTTCAGGTGTGAGAGGTGTGATCCAAATGACACCTCCTTGTTCATTTGCTGTGGTACTTGGAGAAACCTTTGATCGGTGGATACTAGCATTTGGGTATTTATGTTGTATAGATTCGCAACTGAAATACTTAATCTTTCATTCTATCAACAAAAGTGGAAAATGGGGAAACTTACAATTCTCCATATCTTTGATATGGTTGACCCCGATAGACGAAATCTTTTCCTCTGTTCAGAGCGGAGAATTCTTCACCATAAAATGCCTAGAGATCAGAAATCAGATCATGTGAGGTGAAAGGAAGGAAGGGAAAAACTGACAACTCTGTAATACTCTGGTTGAGGTCGACTAGATTCTCCAATCCGCGCCCACAGCTTGGATTGATGTTTGAACAAAGCGGTGAGTTTCTTAATGTCATAAGCTAGTTTTTCATGTTCGGTAGTGAGTTCGGAACAGAGTTGAAGAGCCAATTCGTAAGCTTCAGCTTCGACTGTAGTTTAGTTCAGGTCGTTTCCTTTGAGACTTTTTGGCTTGAGTGAAGGAGGCTGAATATATTCGGGAGTCCGCATACAAGTCGAAACCACTCAATCGTGGGATCACAGCAAAAACATCGCGGGTCATGGCACAATAGACTACGTTCGTGCCCGGCGACAAGGTGCCACTAGAAAGGACATGATGAGTTTGAGATGACACGGTAAATCTGAAATAACACAATGATCCTAGAAATGGCAAAAGTCTCGGGTCCAAGGAGCCAACCCAGTGGGGCAGAGAGACTCTTCAAGAGAATGGGCTGGTCAGACTGTTCTCCCAGAGTATAGATGTGTGAAGATATCTGTGGGCAAGAATGTTCAAACGAAATCACCCACCCAGAAAATCGATAGCTTGATAATACAAAGCCTCCCTTCTCTCAAACGGATTTTGTACAGGTAAATCAACCACATCATTATTCAAACCTTCCAACAATTCTCCATCCATATCCCAATCATACATCTCCGCATGTAATTTCAACGCTAAACCCGCTCCTACTAAATTACGTCCTTCCAGACAAATATTGACGAGCTGATATACGAACCTAGCGTATAAATCATCTCTTCCCATACGTTTGATGAATTCCATCAAACGATAAGTGGCAGCACAACGTTCTTCGGCCCATTCAACTTCTTGTGAGAGATCACGAACGGAAAGGAGAAGATCTATGAAAAGTTCTACTTCGTCTAAAAATGTAGAAACGGATGTACGGAATTGAGGATCGGGGGAAGGGGAAGTTTCGAAGATTGCTCGAAGACGAGTGATGAAATATGCTCTGAGTGCGCCGTCTGAAGGAGAAGCTGTTTTGGCCATGAACTGATTGTCAGATGGTGGTCTGATGAAGAGGTAAAGGGAAATAAGCTTACGAGGACATCTAATTTGGCAAAGATTTCATTTTGTATCGTATCGAATTTCCCATACAAAGAATATTCGGCGTAGATCATAGAGTAAAGAATCTCGACAGCCGTTTCGGTCATGAGATCGTGACTTGAGAGACAAAGACCGAGAATTTTCTCGGCCAGACCGGTGAATCTAGTTTGATACTGTATGTCAGCTGTCAGCTCCGAAAACCAAAATTCTGCCGCTATGTCATATACGGTCAGTTTGAAAGCACCCGTTGAGGGAAGTACGTAAATGTACAAAATCAGGAGTCTGGGTAAGATTAGAGAGCAACTGAGCCGAATGAGTGAGAAGAGATTTGGAGTGTGAGGCAAGAACGTAAAAGCAACTCACACCGCCATACCTCAACGCCTTCCCATCGATCGGCCACCCTAAAGCGTTCCATAACTTTAAGAGCAACGCCGCAGCTTCATCCCTCATATCCCCCGCTATGATCCATTCCGCCCTACGCCTCTGTTGAGTGTGTTCTTCCAAAGCCAACTCCTCATTCCCGCAAATATCGCAAAGCAAGTCAAAACAACCCATCCAGAGCTTAACATCGAACTCCTCTGTTCTCTCTACAGGAGGTATAAAGTCTTCTTTTTCCAATAAAACAGCTATGACATCTATCCATTTGATGATGGATGAGAAAGTCATCAATCGGAGGGTCAACCATTGACTTGGAAAAGCATCAAAACGCACTACCGAAGTACCAAAGGCAAAGATACGAAGTAAGAGTGAAGAAGTTCCTTCGGCTCCGTCTATGTCGAGTACTTCAGTGAGCCAAGCCAGGATGTTTCTGGAAGGAGAAGCGAGGATGAGAGAGAGTATGACAACGCATGTTTCGCCCAAAGATGGATTGAAGGGGGATGAAGATGGGAGATCGTCGCCGGTTTGTGTTGAATTCAGTAAAGAGGGAGGGGGAAGTTGAGAGATGAGACAGAATGGCTGTGAGGATGGAAATACGTCAGGGACAGGTTTCCAGATATTGGATGTAAGGCGATGACGGGTGATTGCTTCGGATGTTGTTATCGTGGCGAGGTCACTGTATGAAGCGAGGAGACTGGATATCAGTTTGAAACAGGGGTTTTCGACTCAACGGTCAACCTATGTTCGGGCCTTAGGAGAGGCACATGAGCCTGTTTGTACCTTTGGATTGAAGTAGAGTCGGCAGGCTCGAAGAAATGAGATAGAAAGACCCACCTGGGAATAAGTGTCAGGCAGTATTCGAGATTGTCTTGCTCTTGGGCTCTCGCAACTTCTTCATCTTCGATGAGTGGAGAAACGAGCCATTCCTGCAATTTATTGACAGTCCAAGCGACCACCTAATCATCAGCTTCAACGACTTGATCCACCTCAGGGAAGGCAAGTCCCACTCGGACATACCGTGACAGCCAAACGATTACATTCCAACCATTTCATTCTTCTTGTGTCCCTCGCAATCTGCGTCTCATCTTGACCCAATCGAAGACCTTCTTCATACTTGCCCAGATGAGGTTTGACCCAACGTACGATAGCTGGTGTTAACAAAGCCCTACTCTCGCTAGTATCAAATAACACCTTCAAGACTTGACGTAAAAGTAGTAATTTGTATATCACTATACTTCCTGTAGCATGTGCCAAAGTGTCGGCGAACGAAATGACCATCTCGGCAATTTCTAAAGGTGGGAACACTCTCATCAAGCCAGGTAGGATATCTGCATAGTGTTGAACGGCTAGAGTTTGTGTACCGATGACCGATTTGTTGGTGTTTGCCATAAGAGTATTCAGTTCAGAAAGAAGAGCTTTGACTTGTCGACGGAAATCAGCTTCAATGTGAGCCGAAGTAGCGTCAAGACCTATACCCCTCGTTCTGTCCAATTCACGTGAACGGATGATGAACCGGAAGAAGAGATGCCAGACTTTGAGTAATGACCTATATGCTTGAGTATCAGGTTGTGACATGATAGCTTTCATCGAACGTAGAAGATGAAATGATGAAGCGGGATGGTTGAAATGTTGAGCGAGATACAGATCAAGGACTTCCCCAAAAGATGTAAACCGACGGTCGGTGATCATTGACAAGACTTTGATGAGACCTTGAAATACCAGATCATCCACTTCACGTTGTTGTTCTCCGAGATTTGATACCAATATACCAAAGAGAGAATCGAGAACAGTTGGAATGAATTTAGAGATTTCTTCTTCATTTACAAAACCGAATGTTCGTAGAGTATCAAGCAGACCTTGAATGTCACTGGACAGGGTTTGCCAAGCGAAGAGAGATCGTAAGGTATCATCTTGTGTGTGAATAGAGGAGCAGAGATAACTTCGGAGCATAACTCTATCACGTAGAGGAGTCATAGTCTTTGCAGTTTGCGTAGAGAGGGCAGGATCATCTGCACCTGTTGGTGGAGCAGTGTAGTAAAGATTTGGGGCAGGTTGTAATCCTTTTTCCATACGATACAAGACCAATTCGTGAAGACCATCCTTGATGCACATCGTTTCTCCTATAAGAGGTAAGAAAGCAAAGGCGAAGGCTTTCTCCGGTTCCTCGCCAGCATGCAAAGGTGATTTACTTCGAGATCGGAAAGTGAGGAAGAGATGACAATCATTCACCCTTGCCGGTAAAGAGATCTTCAACAGTTCGCCATATGTGGGTTGATCGTTGTTCTGGAAGACAAGTGAGTTGAACTGTACGACGGGTGGTTCGCCTGAACCCCCGGGATGCAGGGCGTCGGGTATAACAGTCCCATCTGCTCGACGGACTTCGACTGTGATTTGGACATTGCCATGGTTGATGGGTAAAACTGCTTTGCGCATACGAAGTGACCCACCAGTGTTTGCGGGATTGGGGACGAAGGAAGCGGACCATAACTTGACATACAAATCGTTCCTCGATTGGCCAGGATGGACAACGTCGGGGAACCCTAAGCGAGCGGTATGAGGAATATCAAGCAACAAAGAAGGATTCTCCCGGGTGATTTGAGAGGCTGCACCCTGAAAGACTTTAAGACTTATGGCGACTGCCTCGGCCCTGCTAGTCAACTCAAAAATTCCAAGGCTTGAAAGAGGAATGACATACCTAGCATTGTGTGTATAGTCTTTCGTTTGTTGATCGATGATAGCCTCGTGAAGATTGGCAAATAGGACTTCCTCTTTGGGAACATAAATCGGCATGACGAACTCGATACCAGCTCCAGATTTATCACCTCCTTCACTCATCAAGGTGCTCAGTTGAGGTAAAGGCAAGACTGCACATCCTAATGGGCGTCTGAATGTCGGCTTCCCTTCCACATTGGTAGTTATTGTTGGCGTATGAGTATCCACCGTCTCAGTCCTTTGCCCTCCGTATCCTGACGTTACCGAGAAAGAATCGTCGGTCAAATCATCGACCGTCGATAAAGGTCGATTTCGAGTGGTCCCCATGTCTGAAGCCTGCGTACCCTTTCCTCGACTCATGATTGAGCTTCGTCTAATCGAATCCATGGCTCCCGAACTAGCCTCGGCACGCATCTTCATACTGCCATTCCTGACGATCCGACATACCAGATAAACCTGACCGACAAGGTCTTCATGTTTCAGATCCGTGAAGAGTGTCCGAAGTCGGCCGATACGAATTTCAGGATCCCGAGCAGGACTACCGAGATGATTTAGGATGAGACAAAATTCTTCAGTTACGAAACGTCTTTCGGCATTGTTGTAAAGTGAAAAATAAAGTTCGGCTGTTTCTCCAGGTGCACAAGGGGAAGCCACAAAAGCACGTACGTCAAGAAGGCAATGGAATAGTTTGTCGCCCAAAGAAGTGGGAGTCGTGCCCGACTTCATTTCCTGTAAAGAAAAACGAGTGGTCAAGGAGGAAGTATGTGTGTTTTTGGGAAGCCCGAGCGATGACGTTTTGCTGAAAAGAGTGTCGAGGGGAATTAGATCAATGTAAGCGAGCTGGTACATGAGCTCGACCAGTCTAAAGAATTTCATGACTCACTCGGACCTGATAGACATAACAAGTGATCCCATCTATCCAATTGGACCCGGTCGCTCGACTGCGATCGAATACCATCACTCCTCCATCTTCAAGACTCCGAACTATGACATCCAACCCCTGTGCCACATTACATTTGACCAACCTAGATACGCATTCTTGACGTATCCTGGTCAACTCATCCTCGCTGAGGGTCTGAGACAGTAATTGTCTACGTCCGAGCAGGAGTGCATCGACATGTTGCATAACAGTGTTGAAAAGACGGTATTCCCGATTGGCGAGATATGTTGGAAGACGCTGGAACCATTCTCGTATAGCACATGAGATCTCGTCAACCAGAGGCCAATGTTGACCGGCGATAGTAGAGTCCCCAGCTGTGAGTTGTGGCAAAGGAGGTTCTTCCTTCTCCGGTTCAGGCGGCATGGTTTTTCTACGGTCCAGGAGTAATGATCGTGGTCGGTTTGGTCGAGACATACTTCTAATCCTGCCTACCGAAGGAGGTTCAGATGGATTTTCTTGGGATATTTCGATTATCCCTGTCGTCATTCCATTCACTCCAAGGTGAATTGGAATTTTTGTACTTAAGCGGATTGCCGGAGAGTTGGCGTGGTCGACCGCTCCGTCTTCTTCCTCCTCTTCTTTGACAGGCTTCATATCGCCGAAGACACCAAGTCCAGGGTTCCTAGCTCGTTCTTCTACTAACCTTACAGCTTTCTCGTACGCCGCAGACAAGGTACCATCGTCACTACTGGCGTTAGGTCGGATTCTGACGACCGAGGCAGGGAAGATACCGATGAGTACTGCTGGTTCTGGTCTGGGATATATGAGTGTTTTAGAGGTCGAAGCGGTATTATTGGGCATTAGAGATAATAACGAGGTGGCTTGAGATATATAGCTACTCGTCAATCATCATTGTCGTTGGGCTTGGTAGTTAACATACCCTCTGTACCACACATCACCCTTTCCGTCCTCTTCCATTGTACATCTGTACTCCTCGAAAGCAAAAAACTCATCGCCTATATCCAATGGAATCTCGTATGGGTTATCCTTACCGCCCCTCTCTACATCATCACCTCTACTCGACTCGGGTAAACCGCTCCAGGAGAATCGATTCCTATGTGCTTTAGTCGGTGATGTGGCAGCCACAGGAGAGGAAAGGGGTGTGGGCGAAGGATGATATGGATAAACGACCACACCAGAGTACATGTAAGGTAGAGGTTGCCATGATCCTGTGGATCTTGGACTGAACATCAGCTGAGGAGGAATGACGGAATGGAGAAATGAGCACGGACTTGCGAGAAGGGCCTGAAGCTACAGGGGCCGGTCTACCCAGTGCCAGCGTGCTGAGCGACATGATGTTGAGCTGGTGAGTGTTAACGGGTGACTAAGGTCTGATCATAGCCCTCTGGGACAGATATGATGTGCTGTGATGAGCATGATGAAGAGAAAGAGAATATGTAGTGAAAGAAGTGGGAGAATGATTATTTTAATTGGTAGTTAGGGAGAGAAGGAAACTCAAGCTCGGACCTCTTTCCGAGCGAGTTGCATCTTCACCATTACTACTCTCTCTCTCTTCACTACGACTACTCTACTAGCTATACCTATGCTGCAGTCTATGCATATCTCATCACCTTCTTATCCCAGATGACTGGGACTTTCATCAAGTGAGTGACCAAACGAGCCGGTGAGTCACCGTTATCTGACCATAGGACAGGATATGTACCCTCGGCTCGACCCTAACTCACACTCGTTTCCATCTCTCCCTCCGCACTGTCCTGCCTCCGGTCATATATCACCGACTCCTTCTCTTCCGAATAATCAAGCCCACTGGTCTGGCTGGATCCGACAGAGAAGGAGGATGGTCCGCTCCAGAACTGTATTGCATGGAAGAGACCTGTCCTCACCTGGGCGCTCCCTTGAGCCACGCAGAGGTTCAGGATATGGAAGATAGTATGGCCATTGTGTGTCCTTGGCATCAATACGATTTCGGTCAGTTGCACTACTACTACCGTCTCAAGTAACCATTGCTGATGGTAAGATCTACGAGATGGTTCTAGCTGTAAGCTGTCATCAGGTTCGGGGAACAGATGGAGCTGACAATCAGCTACGGGTCTTAAAGCTTGCACTTACGAGGTTCAAGTGAGAGGTCAAGGAGACGATGCGGAAGTGTGGATCCAAGCTCCTCATCTCGACGAGACTGTGACATCCACCGAAGTATCCACGTCTTCTGTACAATGGGAGTTGGTAGAGATGAGAGGTGTGAGTGAAGGTGTGTCGTCATCTACTGTATCAGTCTCTCGCCGTATCATTTACTGAAATACGTAGAGTTCGCAGACCCACCTCCCCCACCAACATTGAGTAAACTCTCTTTGGAAGACCCCCCGACATTGTCTTCTTCCCAATTGGATGATTCCCTCCCTTTAGACTTGCCTGACACTCTACTCGGCTTCGCCCATCTTATCCTCCGCACTTCTCACCCACAACTCAAATGTACTCTCACACGAGAAGCAGTCTCTAGACTTCGAGCTGGCAAGTTACATTCAATTCGACCGACTGTGGCAGAAACCAACAGAGAACGATCATCCAACGGAGGTCTTCTGAATGTACCTCCTCGACAAGTCAAACTCGTCGATCCTGGTGCTGCTCCCAAAAGAGGGAAAGGAGGATCGGAAAAATCGAGGATTTTGATGTTACATGCCTTGGCAAATATTGAACAATATGCTATAGATTTAGCTTGGGATATAATTGCGAGATTCGCGGATTTTCGTGTGGAGGGGGAGAGATTACCAGTGGAATATTTCTTAGATTGGGCAAAGGTCGCAGAGGACGAAGCCAAACATTTCACCTTGTTATCGAAGAGACTTGTGGTATGTCAACTCTCTCCGTTCCCTACTTTACCTGCACCCGCTCACCCTACTTCTCTCTTCATGTCTGCCCACCTCCGCCTTTAATCCTTCATGTCTACGCATCTTTCGCCGGCGTGTGTTATGCAAGGATTGGGGACATACGCTGATATGAAATAGGAGCTTGGTTCTTACTTTGGTGCTCACTCAGGTTTGTCAATCTTAGTAAGTCATGAAACCCGACAGCTAAGTATCAGTCCACGCAGCTCTATGGGATTCTGCCGTACAAACTTCTCAATCCCTCTCGGCCAGGATAGCCATCATCCATCTCGTTGCAGAGGCCAGAGGGATCGATACGAATCCCATGACCATGGCAAAGTTACAATCTGCCGGAGACAAAGAGAGTACTAGGGTGTTGCAGATCATCCATGCAGATGAAATTACTCGTAAGTTTGAACTCTCTCATCACCCAGTAATTCCAATGAACCAATCTGAAATCTCGATGAAGTGAGTTGATCGAACAGACGTTACGACAGGACATCGATGGTTTACCTGGTTGTGAGTGTCCTCTCACTCCTACCACCATGGTCTTAGTCTGATTTTTCCCAGATGCCAGAAAAGAGGTGTAGACCCAATTACGACATTCCGACAAGAAGTTTCCGACAATTTCAGAGGGAAGATCCGAGGACCATTTAACGTTTCCGATCGTCTTACAGCTGGTTTGACCCCGGCATTCTACGAGGATCTCCGTGGGAAATTAGGACAGGATCGGGGTCAGACTGAAGGAGAAGGAGACGAATATGTACATCCTAGACTCAAGTAGCATATTTTGCATAGTACGGGTACAACATTGCATCTTTACAATCTTCCATTTATACTGAATGATTTGAGTGAGTGGAAAAGTGATGACGTAATGTAGTCTCGGGCATCCGGTTAACTCCGAGTGTGTTGAGCTATTCTGGTGGCAACCCCTCCATCAACTCTCTTCTGTCTCCTATTCATCTTTCTACTCTTTACAGCTTCAAATTCTCAGCTTTTAGTGCTCTACTACTATCTTACAAGGCTCTAAGGTAAACTAGTGTATTATAAGTGAACAAAATGGCTCGTCCCCCCTCTTGTACGTCGTCACTAGTAATCATCACACATTCCTTCCCTCTCCGCCTCTTGGACTGATATAGAGTACATCTACACACATCAATCATCATTCCGTTCATTACACGTCCTACAAATATAATGTGCCTCTCATGGTCGGAGAAACGCATGGGACGTGTATAGCTTACAGATCTATCCGATCATTCCGGACCAAGCTAATAAGTAGCAACTGGTGATGTTTTGCTTTACGTAGTAGCAATCTTCGTTCCTCCTGTTCCCGTGTAAGCTGTGGTTTTGATCCTCAACCTCACTCAGCTAATGATCTAGGTTTTTGAAGAGAGGTCAGTCTTCTCTAAAATTTTGCCAGACACACATCCTTACTAGCTCTTTTGTCTCAATCATGACTCTTCTCTCTCTCTCCCTCTCTCAGAGCTTCACCTTTTTTCTTGCATCATCTTAGTTTGGCGAAAAGACTGGGAGATCTTGGACGAGGATTAGGTCATATGGAAGCTGTGATTTCAAGAGATGGTATGGGAAAAAATGGAATCTGTGGGCTGATGTGACAGGTTGTGCCGCAGATTTATTCGTATGTTTCCCTTTTCCTTCCTGAACCGCATGACTGACAAAAAAGATTAACATCCTTCTTTGGATCCTAGGATGGATACCTGGTCAGTTGCACTTCATCTCTCGTCTCCTTGATGATAGATTCCAAATCTGTCTTACAACACGACTTATTTTACCTTCTGGTTGTTCACATCATTTACTTCCTCAACGACTCATTCGTCTATGAGTTTGATGACGCTGAGGAAAAAGCGGTCATGGTGGGTTGATCGAGAAGACTCGGATGTGGAAAGTTCCCAGAGCGAAGAAGCTAACATTTCCCACAGGTGTACTGCACGCTTTCTGGATCATTGTACGTTTCTTCACTCCTTCTCTTGCACTCACTCATTCCCCACATTTCCTAGGACATTATTTGTCCCTCTTGAACGAAGTCGTCATCGTCAACTTTCTTGGTTCATCTCATATGACAGAGTCGATATATGCCGTAGGCACTCTTGATTTGGACAATCATTCCACGATCTTCAGTAAAGGAGCCAGCCCATGGGGCTAGATTGCCTGAGAGCCAGCATGCGAAGAGGGAATTAGACTAAGCTGATCTCATAGAGCAAATACGAAACCCCGGCTAGGACTGCTTATTGATCTCTGATGAGATGTACTTGGTAAGGAGTCGGATGGTATATCATAGCGGCCAGTGGTAATATGCAATCTTTCAAAAGAGTTGGAGACATCGAACGGTCTATCAACTACTAAGTGTTCAATGTACATCTGGACATCAAACAATGACAATTTGATACATCTTACACAAACATTCGTCTTCTTTCATCCACACTATCTACTCTATTAACACATCTCAGCTTCATACGCCTTCTCATCCGACTTCATACTCAGACTCGAAAGCACAGAGATTCGATAGTGCGAAACAGATCTATGCTCGAATAACTCGGTCTTAGAGATGTCCGAAGTGACAGACGTATTCGGATCAAATAGCAAATCCAGGTTGAGCGATAGAAGGCACTTCCGTCCCATACTCATGTTTCTCATTTTTCCCACCAGGAGTGTTGATTTCGAGACTTTCCCTAATTATCAGTACATGTACCCCCAAGAAAGGTGAAGAGGGGGACATACCAAGTAGGTGGAAGGTCTTGTGCTGGGGGTAAAGCGGCAGACATGGGAGGTTGAACATTATGGAAATCTTCATCGGCCCTATACATTAGTCGTTCTCTCATATACATATCTCAACACGCCCGACTCCAAAACTTGCTAAAAGTCGTACTAAGGAATAATCCTTTGTGATGTCTTACCCACAGAGAGGACGTCGGGTGATAGTAAAGTCGTATGTGAGGTGAAAAAAGAGATGAATGAAGAAGATGGTCGGGGAGGAGAAGAAGAAGGGAATGACAAACCCTTTAACAGTCCATAATGGTCTAGGCTTAAATTTGAGCCAAGCGATACGCGCTATGAAACATCCTGCTAGGATGATGAAAGCGGCCATCATCATGAATACCGACGGTCTATGATCAGTAACGTTCTCATCTCTTTTAGAGAATGATAATGTGTTTCATCACTGGCGAGGTAGATCGCGATCGACTACAAATGACGATGAGGGACGATTGACATGACATTGTCAAACATAGAGAAGGAAGGGTTGGATTGATACGGTGACTCACCCAGGGACGACATGAGGTTGAGAACCATCTGGACTTTGTATACCAGATACTTTACCGAACATACCCAGATCAAGGGCCCACTAATAAGGTTAGTATGCTCTCTTTGTCGTACCAGGGAGTCATACTCCGAATTCTGATAAAGGGAAATTTGATCGGCTAAGAGCTAGTCTGGCCAAATTTCGGAAGGACTGAGAAGAGATGTAGGAGAAGATAGGGGAAGAGAAAGTAAAAAGAGAAACTCACAGCAATGAGAACTAAAATAGAACTCCAAAAAGTACCAGCGAATGCCCATCGGGTCCAATCATACGCTTGTAATTCTTTATTCTCCCATGCTCCACAAGCCGCCAAAGTCCATACCACCGTGAGCCAAGTGGAAACGTTTGCTTCATTGTCAGTAAATCAATCAACCCTTATGCGTCTTTTGAAACGTATTCGTAAGAACATGACCGAAGTGAAAGTACACCGGTATAGGTCATGATTAAGAACACATGACATGATTGGTCAAGAGAAGGAAGAGAGAGAGATAATGGAGGAATATCGACGGGCCGGGGGTGGGGAGGGGGGGGGGGGAGGGGGCGGAAGAGGAGTTTGTTGATAAGCGTAACAATTTTACTCACCGAATATATGCATCACACCGTTGGCAATGTGATACGACTTTGGTACTGCCCCGGTGATTTGAACAAGTCCTACCAACGTACCGAGCTGGTTGAGATTACCACCTTTACCAATACCGCGATTTGAACAAACGTCACTATTGTCAGTATACATTTCACGTCGGTACCCACATCTCCGCACAGAAATGTTTGCACATCTCACAACCCACTAAATCTCGATCCGAATACCTGCGGAAGTCTTCACTGAACGCTGTCAAGATTGGATGGAAACAAGGAGCATCTCGAGTTCTTCCACATTGCTGGAGCTTTGGAGGATTGAAAGAGAAATGAGCATATCATAGATAAGTAATTACTCACTCAAACCCCTTCACTCCAGAAGTACACCATCCCCAAGTCCCAAAGCTCACCGTCCCATTAACCGTCTTCACCTCTGCCACTGTCAAACCTGGAATGATAGGATCAGACAGAGAAGACAACAAGATGATCAAGAATGCAGCGAAGGTAGGGAAAAACAATACGGTAGCTTGATTCCCATTCCACCTTCTGTAAGGCGCATTTTGAGGTTTAGTATCGATCACCGTAATTGGTCCTAATGTCTTTTTCATCTTATCTTCTTCACGTTTCACTCTTGATGTCGACACTAACGAGTGAGGTATCTGCACCTGGCAGTGAATTAGTTAGCTTGACGTGGATCAGCGACTCTTTGTCAATCACAAAAGGTAAAAGAGACACAATAAGACTATAGGTATGATGAGTATGATTGGTGAAGTGGAGTGAAGTTGGTCCTTTGTAGACTAGTAGACGTTTCGAAGCTCCTTTGATGATCTCTCCTTGGTAGAGTTGGAAAGACAGGGTTGTTACACCATGATAAAAAGAGGGGTCAAGGGGAGAAGACGAAGAAGGGAGAGAAGTTGGGTTGCTTCATGTTGTCGTTTCCGGGATGAACGCCGGAGATCTGACGGTGAGTTCCGAAAATGGTAGATCACTTGTACTATGAGAAGAATGAGAGGGTATGAGAAAGTGTCAAATAGATGTATGCATGTTTTGTCTTTATTGTAAAGATTTGACGAATGCCTAATTTCGATTAGCTGAGATTCAAGTACGTGAAAATGAGGATTTACCAATTCTAGCTTGCGGACTTCTTCTTTGAATGCGTCTACTTGTCTTTGGCAGTCAAGTGGGTGATCTATATTCTCTCTATGTTGTCAGTCTTCACTGTCTACGTGTTGACTAGAGGTCACAGTCACAGAGTATCCATTTTGACTGGAAAGAAAGAAGCCTGCGGAGGACTAAGGAAATAAGGCGAGCAACCCAGCGTTCATAAGGAAAGTGGAGCGAGAAAACTTGGAGGTAAATGAAATCTGGACTGACAGGTAACATCTCCTCACGCTCTCCCTAGCGGATCTCACACCTTCTCCCTCTCTTGCAGCTTTTTCTTTCTTCATCCTCTCTACTTTCTCCCTCACTTCCTCAATATCCCTACCAAGCACTTCACTGCTCATCCCTGGTTTTTCTCGATCCAGGTTCTCTTTCTCCAGCGCGGCATTGATGCTTTGCAAAATCTCAGCTTCCTGTTGTCGTATATGAGCTGACTCCGCTGCGAGACGACGACGAACGACATCTTCTGGATTATTGGATGAAGTGTCTGATGGAGGGTTTGACAGTCGAGAGATGAGTGAAGGGGAGAACTGAAATCAGCAATTGTCCAAATTTCCTTACACTTCATCTTCCTTTGCATCACGTTTCCGTCTTCCTTGTTATCCCATGGTCTCTCTCTCCTCATTCCACAAACATGACTCTCGAGTGAGAGATACAATCACCCATTTAGACAACGACGGAATGTGAAACAACGGGTTGGGGGAACGGATGTATGAGGGTCGATGCAGACGTCTCACCTGAACGGAAGTCGATGGTTCAGGAGATACCACATGTTCCTGCGTCGTCGGAGCGGACTGTGAGGCGCCCATGGTCGACTTTTACCTACCGTTGGCCGTTGGGGACTGGTCGTACGGTCGGTGCGAGGTGAAGGTGGTGGCAGCGAAGAAGAAGAGGACGAACCGAAGAAATCCGAGTGTGGCACTTTCCCCCCAGTCAAACATGCTCAATGCAAATATACAGGTCTCATTTTTGGATTGTAGAGTGATACAAAGATACAAGTGGGCGTGGAGATTGACTCCGGATGCTCCGTGCTAGGTGTGAAACTGGACTGGGCCTATCAGACTGTTTGTTACCCATCATACCCATGTTGCCGACAAGTAACGTCGGGAATGAGACGTACGCCGGCCGGTATGGAGCGCCGATAGTCAACGGTTGTGGGCCAGATCTCAGTTCACAGCTTACCATTGGGAGGATTCTCCACCTGGAATTCCCCACACATCGTGAACCTTCCCCCACTGTCATGGTCCTGTATGAAAACCACTCGTCACCGAAGGAGAAGTGACTCAAGGAGCATACCATTCACGGTCTCCCTCGTTTACCCTTGCCAAGTCATGCATGCGACTACACCGACTCGGCACCCCCACCTAGCATGTTTTGATCGTAAACGCCCGACGAGTTAGATTATGTAGTCCATCCTCAGCACAGTCCACAGGCCGCAGAGATGAAGGGGCGTCAGAGGATTGTTTCAGTCCAATTGTCGACCGCCCGTGCTTCGGCTCGGTTATCTGGAACCAGGTGAAACTGATATCAGGATAACACAGTGATTGCACATGACCATGATTGAAAGCTTAGAGGAGCTTATGAGTCATGTGGACAGGCGGCTCACGTCACAAGATGAGTCAGATTACGCTTCTGACACCCCCGTAGGAATCTTCCCGGTCTCGCCGGAGCCACTTCCGGGGACGCTTAAACCTTCCCGCATAAACCTTTTTCGTTCCTTTTCCTTTTCCCCTTTCATGACTAAGACGTTTCCATCTCTTTCATATAGACCAAAACCTCATACCCTGGAGCAAGAAGACACAGAAGATTTGCTTGGCGCCCCGCTTATCACAACTGTCTGTCGAAACTCAGTCTAGACCAGTAGACGCCACTCTTTACCCACTACCCTCACATGTGCACAGGCACCAGGGTGGTAGGATATCAGCTGACATGCTATCCTCCGAATCCCCCTCTCGGTTTCTCACCTTCTCAACCTTCCCTATCTTCCACGCTCGATCGACACTAGGGAGGTCTAATATCTTTCTTGTTCGGTTCTGACAAACGTGTGTGAATCCAAGACGTTCGAACGCGTAATCCTCCACCCTCGTCTTCACCTTCCCTCGTCATGCTCTTCGCACGCTTACTGTTTCTGGATCCTTCAACAAGGTCTTATCGTAGTTTGGCCGACTCATCTGTTAGATCGGGCCCCGAAGTTCACTTGGACACTCACCAACCCTTGTAATCTCCCCACTTTCCTGGTCTTGGAGGGATGGAAACCTCCGAGGAGTTGTTCATCGTACCTCGTCCATCACCGCTTAGTCCGACCGCGTTCCGAACATCTGTGTCGTGCACAGACGACTACTCAGGAAGAAGGGCAACAAGTACGGACCCTTTGTTTTGGGTCGGATCTCGGAGTCCTGAGGGTTTTCTATTTACTCCGACTGCCCGCCGGCGCGTCGAAGACGGTGATCCGGGGTCAAAAACGATTGCAGGAGCATATTTTCATCTGTCTTTCGAGTTAACAATCATCACTGACAGCTGACTCATTACTCATCACAGCCTTTGCACAAATCCCGTTCAAGCACATCAATTTCACAAGAGACATCCACGACACAGGAACATCAGTGTACTTAAGGGACGAATCAAGGAAGGGTTTTTGGTGGAACTCCGCGTGAATCTGCGTATCCTTTTCCGACCTACGGACCAAAGTCTTTGATTGAACGGCCCGGGGAGGTCCCATCATCATCAACGCCAACATCAAAGATTATTCTTTCAAGGCGTCATTTTCAATCAACCAACGATCCGAGCCAAGAGACTTCCAACAAACACGGGACGAGCTCAAAAGCACACACCGAGACGTCATACATGCGTCCTACAAACCTGGTCGGGAAAATTTGTCCAAAATAAATGATTGTGGAGGTCAAACCTTTGTCCTTTCCACTTAGGGTCTAGATCGCAACTTCGCCTTTGTCACAGGTCTACCCAGGTCGTCTAAGCGAGAGTGGGCAGTGACGTCCGAACCATTATTAGAGCCCAATCCGAAATTGGTCCTTACTTGGCGGAACGGACTACGCCATTGATCCACCCCATCTTTCTCCACCCCCCTTCTCCTCCTTTGACCTTTGGGCGCGGCGGAAGCACCATTCTTTCGGTCATTCTACAGGTATTCGGGTCCGATTCTTTGGGTATTGGTCCCACGCTACTCGGGCGCTTGAGATTGGATGAGAAGCATTACACGGACAACGGAGTGAGTAAACATCCGAGGGGGTTACGTTCGATCTGGGCGTTTGCTTGTCCTTCGAGGGAGTTCCGGCCAGAATTTGACGTCAGCAAGGAGGACTCCTCCAGGCACCGTCAAGGGCTTCCGGTAAGGACACGGTCAAACCTGCTACGGATACGGGTTACGGGACACGGCTGCGGCTACGGAATCGGGTTGGGTCATTAAACATATCTTTCCAAGAAGGTCTACAAGTCTAATCCAAATCTACCCCTTTACATTGACCCCTTGCCCTCGCCAGGTTCGACCTGTACTGGGCGCCCCGTGTGCAAAGAACGAACCGATTCGAGCTACAAGGTCCCACGCATTGATCACGGCTTTTGATGATCGGTCAACGCTACGAGCATACGACCGACCTAGACAATACCCTGATCCAAACATTCTCACCCCTTGCCTTTACCCTCAACCTTCGTATTCCTTGTGCTTCACTTTATCCTTTCTACCGTCGACCAGTCAACCCCGCGTAACTCCCCATCGTCAGTCAGCTGATCAAAGGCTTGACTCTCTCGCCCCGAAAATTCGATCCATAGTCTCACTCCGTCGGCATCAGCAATATCATCAACCTCTAAAGGATCTATGAGAGGTTGACACAAAAACGTCGTGAGTTTTCATTGACCTTTGGTTCTGGCCCTCGTCTCGGTTCTCGGGATCAAAGACAAAGGTGGGCAACGTTCGGAAGAGGGCGAACCTATAGGAAGTGGGGGTCAAACGTCGTCTGTTGTCAGGGAACTTTCAGGTTGAGGGTGGGGGGAGATTCTTTCACATTCGTATCACTCGAAAATACCCTCTGATTCCAGAACAAGGGAAAGACAGTGTGTGACGAAGGGGGGTTGGGGGTGGGGGAAGATTGAGTGTAAAAGGCGATGAGATCTACGTATAAGTTTGAATGGGTTGTCCGAGAATCTTCCCCCCCCCCTAATGGCTCACCAATTGCCCCTTTTATTACAGCCACCCAATCCCCCAATCAGGCGTTCCCGTCACGAGGCTCAACTCGTCCCCTCCCCGCCCCTTTGGTTCCCCGCTGACCGGATACAGATTGTTCTCGAGTTAGCAGCCGTCGTCGTCGTCAGAGCCGATCTGAACGGCGACGATTGAGAACAAAGTAAAGTTTCGTCTCCTCGCTACTGGCCCCTACCTATAGTACAAACACGGGGGTGACCGCTTTCTGATTGGTCGCTATCATCGGCCTGTGCGTCAGCTTTAAAGTGTATCGCCTCGAGCGTTACGTGGATGACCAAGAAGCTGGTGACGGATAGATGAGCGAGGCTGAACCTAATCCACCCAACCCACCTGGGGTCAAGAGACGACTATCCCTTCGTCTAGGTGGAGGCGGTGCGGGGGAAAGTGTTAGTCCACTCAAACGCACACGGGTTAGAGATGCAACTTCAAAGGAACTTGGTGAGCTTGTCTGTCTCAGGGTGATGATGAACATCCCTGATAGCGCGATAGCCCCCGTGCCGACGAACCGAAACCGTGATGTATCTCACACTCACACCACTCTTTCAACATCTTCTCTCACCTCTCCGAACAGCAGTAGTGACCACGACACGTCTACCGACATCGACCCGCCTACGCGGGAAGGGCGTCCTGCTCCTCTCAGCGTCTCCATCATCCCGGCCCCCGCGGCCATGTCGAGACAGGCTCGAGCCATCTTCACCTCTCCAAGACAGACTGTACCCATGTGGCAAACAGTTCAATCCTCTGTCTCTGCGGGTGAAGAAGATCAACCTCCAGCCATGTCTTCCTCTCGAGCTCACTCTCGTCAACACCCCTATACACTCTCCACCTCTGCGCCCCCTCGTGTCCCCAGTCCCCCGGGATTCAGTCTTTCGACCGGTGCACCTTTGGTCAACCCTCCCGCCAAAACCCAAGCAGCGTTCGTGGGAAAGCTGTACGCAATGTTGGAGGATGAGGATATTCTCAAAACGGGATTGATACATTGGTCGCCTGACGGATCGATCTTTACATGTCCCAATCCTACCGAGTTTGCCAAGTGAGTCTGCGATCTGCGACTTTTTGAGGATAACATGTCTCTCTCCGCGAATGTATGCATGCGCTAACGTGACAGAGTTGTCCTGCCACGATTCTTCAAGCATAACAATTGGCAGAGTTTTGTTAGACAACTCAACATGTATTCGTGAGTCGAAACTTTTCCTTTGCTCCACTTTTAGATTTTTCCGCACGGATCGCGCGCGAGATGAACTTTTGACCACTGCTGATCTCTTATAGGTTTAACAAGGTTGGCAATCCCTTCTCCCCATATACATCTTACCTCCTCGCTGACATATCGCAGGTAAACGACGTGTTCGCTACCACTTCAGATCCACAGGCGTGGGAATTTCGACACCCCCTTTTCCGTCGGGGAGAACCTCACCTTTTGGCTAGCATCAAACGCAAATCCACTCGTCCGAACCATGCCGACAAGGAGGCGACGTCTCCGGAAGAAGCGGAGACTCCACGTGCGGTTGCAGGCTGGATGAGGGAAAGAGAAAGAGATAGGGCACCGGGATGGAGAAGCTCACCACCACCTCAGGAATACGCAGGAAGGGTTTACGGATACAACATGCAAACTGGAGAGACCGTCGTTCCACGTCCTAGCGAACCTAATCGTGGACCTTCTAGCCTCTCTCTCGACTCTCATCCTCCTCTATCGGCTTCTCTTCGACAACAACAATCAGAAGCTCCAAGATACCATCCTGATCCTAATCGACCTCCTTTACCCCCACAACATTTCGCGGGTTTTCCAGAATCACCTTACTATCCTCAACCACCTACTTCTCATCCGTCACCAGCAGAAGCACTCGTTGCGCAAGTCACTTCCTTGGAAGATCGCGTGATGCGTCTGACCGAGTTGCTAAATCGAGAAAGGGTGGATCATGCTCGTTCTTCCCTCGATTTCGCCTCGTATCTTTCAAAGATTGCCGGTTGGATAGGTGTACAGCAACGTAAGTGTATCTGCTTTTTCCTGCGTCTTTCACAACTACCATCCCGTATGATCTTGATCTGGCGTCAATGTATGTCTGTTGACAAATAGCACCTCCGCCATTGGAGCTACATTCCCTACAAGACACGTTGACTCGCGCGATCAGCGATTATCAACACCGTTACGAACAACTCATGGCATCCGATGCGTTGGCTAGTTTGGCCAGTGGTGAATTGACGATTCGGGATCAGAGGGAAGAGCGTGCTCGAGTACCACGTAAATTTCCTTTTTCTTTTCCCCTTGCATCAAAACTCCCCTTCTCGTGTGAGGCTAAGCCAATTGTAGTAACTTCGGAGGAAACGTCAAACCAGAATTGGAAACCTGACTGACTTTCAGTTGATCCTCCTCTTTCGGCCCGAGCTCCTACCCTTCCTGATCCACGATTGACCCAAGCCAACCCCACTCCACGCTCTTCCCCACTAATGATCAATTTCCCCACCGGTCCACCTTCTCAGCCCACGTCTCATCAACTTCATCCTGCTCATCCCACTCTACCCAACCATCAAACCCTTCAGCCTCTTCAATCACTTCAATCATCTCACTCACGTCCAATCGATGTTCCCAAAATACCCTTTTCGACCTCTCCTCTCACCTGGACTCATCCTAACAATCATGCTCATACTCGTCAAGGAAGAGTTGGACTAGGCTCTACTCCAAGCTCCAGCTCAGAAGGAACAATACTGCCTCCTCTATCAGGAAGAATGGAAGAGGAGCTCAAAATAGACCGAGGCTATCCGAGCTCAAA